TTTGTGACCACTGCCAAGCCTTTGGAAGAAGCCTGCCTGCAGCATCTGTCTCGATGGGAGGGGCTGGCCTGGAGGGCTTCCTTTGGTGGCTTGAGCACAGAAATGGAGGCACCAGCGTTTGCTCCCGTTTCCCTTGGGAAGACAGCTGGACGGTTTTGTAGGAATTATCACCAGGGCTAGGTCTTCCTCTCCTCAAGGTTCATGGTACTTCTGAACCGCCATCCTCCCCTTGCACAACCCCATGCCACTTGTTTATCTTTTCAGCCTATCAGAGGACTGGTTCAGGCAGGATATGGTGATTTCTCCAGCATGACACAAGGGGATGATTCCTTTAATGTACAAAGCTGGAGCAGATCTTTGAATTAGCCAATCCTAATCTCTCTCTCTGTTGACAAGCTGCACTTAGTAAGCCATGCCCCAAAGTGAACCCTGCAGCTCCTGACAATGGACAATGCCAAGAAGCCAGGGAGCCCCTCTGTAGCCTCTGCAAACTGGAATAATAGTCTCTGTGTGGCTCCCCAAGACCCAGGAGCTGCTTTTTCTTAGCATTGAATCACAATCTCCCAAACCATTTATGTACCGTGGCTATTTGTGACACCTGCTGTCTAAGGGGCAATATAGTGACATTAATACTACCCCATCTGAGAGCTTGTAAAGTGACTCATCGTTAAGCACAGTTGGATGATACAATTAAGAATCTGCTTTGGCAAAAGCATAGAGTTCAGACTGGGGTTGAGCACTGACTCTCACACTCAATAGTTACATGAACTTGGGGCAGACTTTTACCTCTGTGACCAACAAAGAAAATATTGTTAAATTATAACATGCTGAGTGGGAACCTTGAGTAGTTAAGAATTCTGGAGTTCCCTCCCTCATCTTACTTGTTGGAGTGAATTGTCAAAAGTCTCAGGTGCAGCCAAAACCACTTTGGCTCAGTGGATAGAGCGTTGGCCTGTGGACTGAAAGGTCCCAGGTTCGATTCCGGTCAGGGGCATGTACCTTGGTTGTGGGCACATCCCCAGTAGCGGGTGTACAAGAGGCAGTGATCGATAATTCTCTCTCATCGATGTTTCTAACTTTCTATCCCTCTGTCTTCCTCTCTATAAAAAAATCAATAAAATATATATTTTTTTAAAAAAGTCTCAGGTGCAAAAATAGCACCTTTCTCATAGGACTTGTTTGATTGAATGAGATAGAGCTTGTGTCTAGCATGTGGTAGGTATGCAGGAACTGACCACTGGAGATCCCAGCCTAGTGTAACAGAAGCTATCAAAAAGATTGGCTCCCACCCCAGCTGGTTTGGCTCAGTGGATAGAGCATTGGTCTACGGACTAAAGAGCTCCTGGCTGATTCTGGTCAAGGGCACGTACCTTGGTTGCAGGCTCGTCCTCCAGCCCTGGTCGGGCCTGTGCAGGAGGCAACCAATCAATGTCTGTCTCTCACATTGATGTTTCTTTCTCCTCCTCCCCTCCACTCTCTCTAAAATCAATGCAAAAATATCCTCTGGTGAGGACTGACCAAAATATATAAATATTGGTTCCCTCTCCCCCAGGCTTGTGTCTTCCTGCTTTGGGGACTAAGAATTTTTAGCCAACGGGAGAAACAAATTGTTGCATTGCTTAATAAATATTTAATGAATTGGTTTCATGGTGAATAGTCTAAATGTATGACTAGCATGCTGTTTTGCTAAAGGTCTGGCTTCTTCTCTGGGAAGTTTAAGTGGAGAGTTAAAAATAATTTCAGTGCTTCAGGACAATGCAATGTTTAAAACCAAAATAAGAAGACTCTTTCTTCAATAATGGGAGTTACTGCCCGTTCCCTTCAGGCATGAGCTCCTGGCTGCAGAAGTCCCAGATCCAGCACAACAGAAAGGTCACCAAGCCAGTTTCATCTGAGAAGCTTTGTGGTGTTTGCGCTGGTTTTGGGGGAGGACGGGTGGTTGCCATGGAACTGTTAATAATGATCGCCGCCTGCACCTCGATCCCTCATGCTCTCCATTTCCAATATAAAATCACTTAGGCTGGGACCGGAGGGCAGTAAACAAACTTTCAAGCAAGAATTAACTGGGCCCGAGCATTAGTCTCCTAATGGAGGGAATGACTTTCGATATAACCTTTACCAACACTGGCCGCTTGGCTCTATCCAAGGAGCTTCCGGTTTCCTGATCTTGGCCTGAAATGCAGGAGGTTCAAACCTTGATAATTTTTGCCCAAAAGCAGAAACATTCTGGGCTTTCATCACATAATAAATGTGAAAAAAATCTTTATCTTGTACAGAACTGGCCCCAGTGTGGGTCTCTTATTTTCATGTGTATAAAGAAATTCAGTCGCAGACTGGATTCCTAATTGGAAAGAGAAAAATGCTCCTGTTGAAATATGTATCTATATATTTTAAAAATAAAACCTCATAGAAAAGTGACATCTTTGCTGTATTTCTGTGAGATTTGTGATCCATGTAATGAAGTTTCTTGCTCCTGAATTATGTTTCTAAGATAGGGATCTCAGTGCTTATTAATGTACAACCAACCTTCGGGGGGAAACTAATCCCGTGAGCGCCAGGCACATAAGTTAGAAATGGGTTAGTGGCCGGGTGGGGGGGTGGGGGTGGGGGAGGCACATCTAATTTGGGGGCATTGCAGCCTCTCCAGAATGCAAATGCTTCAACTATAACACAGAGGACACAGCTTCTGCTTCTTCATCGGCTCCTCTCTGTGATCCCGGCTGTGTGTGCTTTCCAGCAATTATCTGGCCTTGTTCTCTGTTTATTGCTTAGGATTTTAATGCCTCGAATGTGGAGCAGAGAGTAAATTGTTTGTCAGTAAAATCTGAAAAGATGCCTGTGTGCAGTTTTTCACTACACGACATGCACATCTTTTGAAAAGGAAATGTAATCATCACGTTAACCCTGGACTTTTCACCTCCTTGGCAGCAAGAAGTGATAGCAACCTAGTGCAGGTGAAACAGGCATGCTGGGGGCCATGTGCGAAATGAAGTCTTCCATGGGACATGGGACAGTGCAGGAGACAGTTTCATCGGTGTGGGACAACTGAACACCCAGCCCGATACGTTCGTGTTTGCAGGGCTGCCTGAAGTATTAGGAGCCTGGTACCAAACAGTACAAATGCAGATGGAAATATCAAATTCATCAAGCAGCTGCAATCAATTCAGCTGCTCCCCAGAGCTGGCAAGGTGATGTCAAGAAAGTTAAACTTGACGAATGAGACTCAGATTCTAAATGAGATCAGGGAAAAGAGAAAGCCGAGTTAATAGGGGAAATCAAGACGGAAACAATCAACATTACAGCTATATTTGGAGGAGAGTTTTAAGAAATCAGTTCTCTCTGCTTGTTCTAAAACTGTTCTGCCAACAAACTGACACTGTTAGGCACTTTTCATTTTTGGTTTATTTAGTCTTCTTTAATATAGCCTTTGTTGTTCAACCATCAAATACGGGGATACATGATTGCAAAAACAAGGATAGCTGTTTAGTTTATGCCATCAATACATTTGTTAAACTTATCTCTTTTATAAGACAAAGCAGTTTGTTAATACTGTGTTGGATTAGCTACAGTTGTAAGGCTACCTATAGTGAGTGGCGAAATCTAAAGGCAGGGATCTGCTCCCTGCTACCTGTCTTCAAACTATAGTTTCATAGTATTCTCAAAACATTAGTATTCTGTAATTAAAAATAGATAAAGCAACATTTTAGTATAATGTTAGGCAGTAGTAAAAATTACCCTATCTGACTATATGTGCATATCTACATAAATACTAGTGTGCTTTAAAAAGGTAATAAACATACTAAAATAATGTGAAATTGACATATAAATAAAATATGACCTGGAATGAAATTATCATTATGTCTAAAAAAAAAAAAAAAAAAAAAAAAAGGACAAACAGAAGCCCTCCCTTTCCCAAACCTGTTAATTTTAATACCCTATAAACCAACATTATATTTTGAGTGCAAGCTCAAATTTGGAAAACATTACATTAAAGACTAGTATGATCCAACTTCCTAGAAAAGGCAGTATGCATTAATTAATTTTGAATATTTAGATTCATCCCCAGTCTTAAAGAGACAACATCCTTTTGAGTTTCTTCGAAGGAATATTTCTAATGTCTTTTATATATTAAGAAAAAATACACCTTGAACACAATAAAATATCTTTATATTATTTGAAAATGTTAGAAAATAAAAATATTGTGAAAATATAACATTATTCCAGATATAAGAACTTCTTTAGTATTGTTATAAAGAGCAAAATATTTAAATTTAGATAGTAAATATTCTACTTCTAAGCATATACTTTTCCCCCCTCTTTTTGTCTTCATTTTCTTTGGCATTCTTTGTTCCTGTTTTTCCTATTTTCCCACATCTCTTTGTTAGTTTTCTTTTTCTTATAGTCCTGATTTCCTACATGTCTTACTTCTTTAGCTAAAAATTGCAGTTTTTACTTTATTTTCAAGAAAACAATGGTTTCTATTAAGTGGATGGTCAACCAAACTTTTTCTGTTACCTTTTAGAAAACGTGTTTTTTTTTTTTTTTTTTCTTTTTCTTTTAAAGCAGTTACCCTTTAGCTTAAACACACATGTATATCATACATTACACTCCTGAAAAATAGCTAACAGGTGCACAGAGTTCTGGGAAATTCCATCTGCTGCTGGTACACTCTGCAGCAAGCTTATGAAATGACCCAAATCAATCACCCTTCATGACCAGTGTCTTCAGTAGGCTCTGGTTCTTCTAAGCGAAACTGATCCATGTTTTTCAACTGCTTCATTTCTTCGGGGCAATCTTGGAGAGATCCTACAGGAACAGGACCTAGGAGCAAATTAGAAATGGAGCCCCCGACAGGCTGCCTTCATAGTGGATCTTGGTCATGTGTGTGCTGCTACATGGACAACAACACAGTAGTGAGTGGGTAGCACTAAAGACGCGTGGACGCGTGTTCTAGGCTCCCCACCTGCCTGCAGGTGCCGCTGGCCCTGGGGGCCTCTTGCTCAGGCCGTGTGGCCCACCTGCAGCACCGGGGGCTGGGCGGCCTCCTCTTCTGACCGCTCTGCCTCCGTGGAGTTGTAGCCGTCCTCATAGCGCACCTTCTGTGCCTGTTCCCGGGCCACCAACGACTCCTCATCTACCTCCACGGTCAAGTCCACGTTGCTGTCCATGCCAGAGTTACTCCCCCGTGAGGCTGCCCTCCCACTCTCTCCCTCGGCCCCCTTCCCTTCAGCCAGGACACTGGAGAGGGATGCTTGGGAGAGACCCTCGGCCAGTGAGCTCCCCTCGTGGTCACGGTCGTTGGGCACGTCTTCAGACTTGGCCTCGTTCTCCCCAGCGCTTTCCGGCTCTCGGACTTTCTTGCGCCCGAAAGTGAGAGGAGAGACCTTGAAGGGGGAGCTTTTCCCAGAGGATGTTTTCTCATGGTTGGAAGCGAACGATTTCTTGATCTTCTCCCTCCTCTCCACAGACACGATCTTTGTCCCCAGCTTGTTCATCTGCTTCTCGATGTTCTGGCGAGAGAAGGCCTTCTTGATGCTGTCCACCTTCCGGAGGCTGGACCTTTTGATCTTCTCGGCTCTGCTCTCTCCCAGGCTTTCCTCTGCACTGTCTTCCAGGGCCTCCTCGCCGTGGGCCAACTCATCTTCCGACGAGAGGTCCACTGTGTGCAAGGTTTCCTCCAAAGACTTGTTCTCGTCTGCAACTTCCTCCTTCCCTTCGTTGGGGCTGGACACGGGCTCTTTGGCAAACACGCTGGCGGGGATCTCGTGCTCTTCCTGGAGAGATGGACAAGGCAGATTTCATGTTAGTAACGCATTCCCCAAACAGGCAGGAGCAGCCGGAATGCCTGTGCTGCCAGTTTTGGGTGTCATAGAAACCCAAGGTTTGTGGCTTCAGTTTTCTAGGACTTGAAGAGTTAATTGTCAATCAGTCAAGGCTTCCCCCTCCCTGCAAGCTGGATAAGGCCAAGGGCTCCCCATGGGAAGATTAGGAGGGTTCTGGCAAGGGCTCTATCAGCGACAGGCAGAGGGGGAAGTGGGCTGTGGCTCAGATCGGCCAGGAAGCTGCTTCTATAAAGTAAGTCACTGTGAACTCCTCTCCTACCCAGCTCGGTCCTGCCAATATCCCACTGAGAAGGAGCCTGGTGGTCAGGTTGGAAGATAAAAGGTGGGGGCAGGGGAGAGAAAACAGGAAGTCCTCAAGTGTTGAACCCCATGTAGAGCCTTGACCAGGTTTCCTCCCCAACTAGCTGTCGGAAGTAAAGATAAGGCCAACCTTGGTATCTGTTCCAAGTACACTCTAGTTCTTCTGAGGACATAATTTTAGTGGAAGGGAAGCAGGGGCCTGGCTTCCTGGGGACCCACTCACAAAACTGTGGTTTAGTATATCCTTAATGGGCATTAAAAAGGGGATGTGGTATAGAGCCACATTTAGAGTTGTCAAGGGGAATTATGATGCCAAATGTAGCTTATCAAGCCCCTATTGTTAAACAGGGTTTCCTGGACAAGAATGCTTCACCCCGCACCTAGAGCTAAGGGTAAGGAGAGAAGCTCAGGACTCCCCCACCCTCATCCCAACACACTATGCCCAGTACACCTCTCTCTCCAGCTTCTAGACCCCTGCCATGTATCAGGGGGCAGAGCCTGGGCACCTGCCTCCACAGAGCAAGAGGAATAGTTTGCCAGTATTGCTAAGTGGGGAGATTCGAATGTAGACAGACTTTGGATCCCATTAGCATGAAAATCTCTTTGATTTTTATATTTCTATTTGAATATTGGAAAACAAGATCCAACCAAGTGCCTTTGCATTTTCATTAAAGAAACAGCACAGTAAAAAGCATGTGACCAGAAGCCTGAATCCCAATCCTTGCTGTACTGCTAAGTGGTGAGTGACTTTTGGCAAATAACTTCATCTCCTTGGGTCTTGGTGTCTTTCAGGCATGAACGGGAGGATCTGACCTAGATTAGCAGCCTTTGGACTGTACTTTCTGGGGCACCAGGGCCCGGCGCCAGAGCCCATACCACCTGCTTCCACCAAAGTGGTGACATTACCTGGTTATGTTATAGACTGCCCAGTACATTTAGTGACTTTAGAAGTCTGTCTGGGATCTAAATTTCAGCAAAGTTCATATTAACACTAAGAACTGCCCTTCTCATTTTGAAATTTTGAAAAATTGACATTATAATCAGAAACATGCTTGAAGAGTGAGCCTACATATATATATTTTTAACTTCTTGCTACAAAGGCTAAATGAACAAAGTTTTGATAGAGAAAATTAGAAATTTCTGTCCTTACTACCACTGAATGGTATAATTATGATACTCTCTGCAAAGACACAGTCCTGTGTCTCCCCCTAACAGACACATATACATAACTCATACCTAAGCCTTTCTAAACTGGTTAGAAACAAAGGGAAAAGAGCAGAATTGTCTGGTTAAATAGAATCCTTGGTAGAGGTAAGAAATAATAGATTCCATTTCCTAAAGCTTTCTCCACACTCACCCATTTAAAAAAATTGAATTTATTGGGGTCACATTGGTTAGCAAAACCATATAGGTCTCAAGTGTACAACTCAATGAAACATCATCTGGACACTGTATCATGTGCCCACTGACCCAAGCAAAGTCTCTTTCTACCCTATTTCCCCTACTGTTTGCCCACCTTCACCCCTGCCCCCACCTCTGTTGCCAAATGGCTATCCCCACATAGTCCTCTGTGTCTATTTGTTTTATATATTCCTTCACTAATTCCTTCACATTCTTTTATTCACACCCTCCAATTTTGAATGTCAACAAATTGTCAGGGCCTAGCCAGTTTGGCTCAATGGATAGAGCATTGGCTTGTGGACTGTAGAATCCTCGGTTGGATTCTGGTCAAGGGCAAATACTTCAGTTGTAGGATCCTCTCCAGCTCGGGCCCTGGTCAGATAGTGTGCAGGAGGCAACCAATCAATATGTTCCTCTCACATTAATATTTTTCTCTGTCTTTCCCTCTCTCTAAAAATCAATGGGAAAATATCCTTGGGTGAGTATTAAAAAAAAAAATATGCCAGGCACACCATATAAAAGACAAAGTTAAAAAATAAAAGAAGGATGGGATTCCCACAAATCACTTATGACATAGACTTTTACAGAGAGCAACGTTCCCATGTTTCAAGTCTCAACTCGCCTTTGTCTCATTGGCATGTGCTCCCCATGAAGGTGGAGATTTTGTCTGTTCACTGTTATGCCCAGTGACTAGGAATAGTTCCTGGCAGCTCAACAGCTATTTGTTGAATGGGTGCATGCTGGGTACAGCGGCTTTCTAAGACAGCCCGAGGGTTGCTGGAGTGGAGACGCCGGCTGTCGGCAAGGCTTGAAACCTGCAAAAGTATGGGCCCTGCTCTGCGTCTAGAAGCAAGTTTGCTGATGCTGGCTGTCCCTGGGAAATGAGAACCTCAGGCGCGAGGAGAGCAGTGGCTGCCATTTGTAAGGAGTTTATTCTCAGAGGGTGAGTGTGACTGAATGAGGGGCAGACTGCAGAAGAAGGGCTCTGATGCTTAGTCCGGAAGTGAAATTACTTGTGGGATTTGACAAGAGGGTTGGGATGCTTTGACAGGAGTTGCTTGAAGGAAAGGAAGAAACCAAGAGTTTAGGGAAATGTTATTAAAAGTTCTTAGTGGCTCTAGCTGGTTTGGCTCAGTGGATAGAGCACTGGCCTGTGGACTGAAGGGTCCTGGATTCAATTCCGGTCAAGGGTACATGCCTAGCAGGGGGTGTGTAGGAGGCCCCGATCAATGATTCTCTTTCATCATTGATATTTCTATCTCCCTCTCCTTCTCTCTTTCTCCCTGAAATCTCTCTCTCTGGCAGACATGCAGGTGGAAAACTCAAAATTAGCCGTGGCTCCATGAGAAGAGGTACATGTGTGCAATCTTCCATGGTAACCAAAGGATTGCCCTGCTAGTTTTCTTTTCTTCAACCTCAACGAAAGGTAGACCCGGTAACTGGGCTTCTAAAAGAATTCAACTAATCATTTTGCAAGTTTTCTTCAATGTCAATCTTATTACTGAAAAAACATGGCTGAGCTTAACTCATCTCTCTCCTTATGTGTCCTCTGAGGATGGTTTGAGCAAAGTGCGTGAGCTTGTGGTGGAGAAATGGCCTGGGGCAGATTCTCACAACAGAGCTGAGGGCAGTTAAGAGATAGTAGGAAGCGCAACTGGATCCTTTTACGTGCTGCCTGGGAAATTTAACCAAGTGCCAACTGTGACAATAAACACAGCAGGAACAGACATAATCCAGAATGGGCGGGGTGCGTCCTTCTGGGACTGGAACCCTGTGAAATACGTCTTCTTGGCTATCTGCGAGGCGTCTGCGGTCACTGTCATTACTCGAGCTGCCCTTGGTGTCCTGTTTACTGGACAGCATTTATTTTGTGGCTTCTTATGGCCTCACGCTGAAGGGAAGCCCTTTGCCTTTCCTGTTCTCGCAGGAATCTGTGAATGTGCAAGCACATGCAGGCCTCATCTCTGCATGATGCCTGTGTAGGAGCAGCACAATAATAACTCCCTTAAAAAGCTCCGTTCTTTAGTGAAATGCATGCGTGGTATTTAAAATGAAGCGACATTCAACTTGAACCTTGGACAGTGGCTCCTCTGTCACTGTACAGTCTCACCTGCACACGTGCCTTGATCAGGACATGCACACCTCAAGGACACACTTGATATCTCACCTCCCGACAGGGGAGGCCACACTTCTGCCTTTGGCCTCTGGTCATAATGTCTCTGACCTACTTTCTCAGAAGATTCCAAGACGGTTGGCTCTTTCAAGGGGGACAATCAGATAGATGCCTTCAGTTCTGTCACTGCTGACTTATGCTGCCCACATAGCTGCTAGGCGCTGTGATTCCTTTGCGTGGCATTAAGAATCCCCTGGGAGTGGCATCGCTTCCTTTGGAATTTGTACCAGCTGTTTGCCCTACAGATTCATTTTCATGAAGACACCACCGAGGACCTGCTCCTGGTTCTGAAGTTTCACAGAAACCCTCAGGCATAGTTTGAAGGAAGGAAGAATGAAACAGAACACTTCAAACACACGGATGACACGCTCGCGAGTGAAAAAGAAGGGAGAGAGCTTTTGAGCAGTGGCATTTCCCCTCATACTCCCGCTTGTTTTCTGTTTACGTTAATTCTTTTGAGCTAATAATTCCAGCTGTGCATAGAGACATAGACAGAGAAACTTTCGAGGCGCTTTTTGGGTTGGGACTCTTTGGAAGTGAGTCTTTGCACACATACACAGCGATGGGCACTTTCAAAGACAGGGAGACTCTGTGTGACCAGCATTGGAAAAGGGGGCCTCAGGAAGTCCTTTAAAGCTTGACTGAAGAGAGACGAGCCAGTGGCTTGCTCTCCTGTCACTAACGTGTCACCCCTGCTGTTAGAAGACAATAACAAAGGCTGTCATCGTCCCACCGGGATGTGGTGGCATCTTGGAGGGATATATGAGGATCGTAAATTTATGTCCATGAAATGTTTTATCCAATAATCTCTAAACACTAGTTATTAAAATGGAACGACGCCCACCTGACATTCTGACTTATGGGCCTCGCTTCCCCATTGATGGCTCTCTCCGGTGCGTGCTGCCGAGGTAGAGGCTGCCAAGCGGATAAGGCATTGATTAGAACTGCCCCCAAAGGCAGCCGTGGGTGGGAGCCGAAAGTCATAAGAATAAACAGCATTGCTTACAATCCCAGAGCAGTCTTTCACATTCGGGAGGATTTAAAAGTTTCATTATTT